ATGATTTTTAAATTACATATTGATTTGCTCCTTAATGCCTTTCCTCCCCCATGCTTTGTTTCTCCTCATTGGCATTCCTAAGATGACTATCTTAGTTCACCAGCATTTTTGTTCAGCATTTTCATAGTTTTTGCAGACAGGTCAATATTTGTTTCCTATAAACCTTTTGCTAAATAACAGCCCTTTAAATCTTGTGAATGAGATGTGTCTTGTTCAGAGGGTAAGGAAGTTGGTCAGGAAGTGCGATCATTCACATGCAAAGGATGACATCGGAGTTAACAAACCAGTTGGCATCAAGCAATCTCTTAATAAGTCTTCATTGCTTTTGAACGTACTAATTTGGATTCTCAAGAGCAAAAATATTCGAGCCTCTCTTCCATATGGTGCTTTCTTCAGGCTTGATTCTTAATCTTTGTGCAAGGGAGAGACATAAGGATGCGCCCTGTTCTGCTTTTATGTGCTGCACAGTGTGAGCAATGTGAAACAAAACCAAACAAAAGTGCTAGATAAAGAGCATCTATGATAGGGAGAAAGCTTTGGGGTTTTATGCTTTGACTTTCACTCTGTTTTATACACAAAGGTGTATAAAAATACAATAAATCTGCAGCTAGATGAGCAGTGACAAAAGGGCTGTTTTGTATTTCTGTATAAATATGTGGCTGCTATTACCTAACTGTCAAAACCCAGAGCCCAGGTATTTTAAAGTGAGATATATAGAGAATTCATTACCTATACTTTCCATTTACATATTTTCCTGTGTGTCTGATAGTTAATAGCAGCCTGGATTTATGTGACTGAGGCAATGAACTGTGAACCATTGTAAAACGCTGCAGTTTGGCCACAAGAGCACATGTAGGATTATGACCTGGTTTTAAGAGGTGATTCCACTGCTTCTTAATGCCACTTTGTGGAAGGTTACCACCCTGTTCCTAACCTGTGGTTAGGGCTTGCAGTCATGTCCTGCATCCATTTCTATGTAAAGTCCTGTTTAGGGGTGTTTTGAGCAGAAGCCATCAGGCATAGAGTAATCTTCAATTATTTAGCTCTGCAAAAACATGTCTGTCTGTGTCTTTGGCCCCCAGTAATGACAGAAGCCCAATACTTTCTCTAAATGTTATCTCTTTGCTCAAAGTCCCTCTGTGATGGAAACCTGGAAAGTGTTTCTCTGCATCTGCTGGGGAACGCTGAATGCTACTCACTGTTCAGTCCACTCAGTGAAGAAAATTGAACTGGGGACCTTCACTTACAGGGGCACAGGTTTTGGGGGTTGGATGGAGCGGATCGTGCCCATGATCTCTTGAGCTATTCACAGAAAATAGTGTGTGCTTTCTTTCTCTCCTCTAGCAGAATCAGATCTAGAGTGTATTCCATCCTGGCTATAGTGCTTTTTGCCAGAAAATCAATAATTTCTTTTTGTGGCTTCTTTGGTATCTTTAATTGCCTATAATATGTAAAGAGAAATTGTACTGGTTGAAGGAGGTAATAATATATTAATTTCTCCAACACATCTCTAACAAAATCGTTCTCTATAACTGCCTGAAAGGGGGTTGTGGCGAGGTGGGTGTGGGTCTCTTCTCCCAAGTTACCAGCGATAGGATGAGAGGAAATGGACTCAAGTTGTGCCAGGGGAGGTTTAGACTGGAGATTAGGAAAAATTACTGAGGGTGGTCAAGTATTGGAACAGGCTGCCCGGGGAGGTGGTGGAGTCGCCATCCCTGGAAGTGTTCAAACAACGTGTAGACGTGGCACTTTGGGACATGGTTTAGTGGGCATGGTGCTGTTGGGTTGGTGGTTGGACTTGATGACCTTGGAGGTCTTTTCCAACCTTAATGATTCTGTGATTCTGTGAGAATCTCCACTTACTCTATTGGGAATTGCCCAGAAGAGTAATTTCAACCAAAAAAGCTCATTTCCATGTCATCTGCATGTTTTGCATGTAAACCTTCTGCCTGCAAAAATCCCCGTTCTGCTTCTAGCAGTTATTCATTGTAGACATTTGCGATGAGTGTATGAGACTTGATCACCTGTCTGTGATGACAGTCTTGCTCTCTCCGAGGTGCGCTTACTGCAGCTGCATAATGAGAAGACCTGCGGTGATTCTTATGGGGAACTTTTATTTTGCTAAAAGTGGAAATATTTAAACTTGAACTCTGCTATAAAAAATTAGTGGCTGCTTTAGGATTCAGGAAGAGATGAGCCAGGAAGAAAAGCACGTGGGGCTGTTCCATTTAGTTATGACTGAGACATTTGGTGCCTATTCAGTCGGCTCGGTTAAGGTTTATGTGGCACAATTGTGCATAAAGCTTGTCTTAGAGAAAAGATAAATTAGAGAGGCAGAAGGCTTTCTGTCCTACTTCACGCTTTGCTTTTTATTCCTGTGTATTTTGTACTGAGCCATGTATCTTGAAAAATAGGTGTGTTAAGTAGGATGATTTAGTCTTTTTCTATAGCAGAGGATGTAGTGTATCATCTTTAAATAGGATTACGCTTTCCAGTACCTTAAGTCACAGATTTTTGGGCGCTAAGGTCACGTAAAGGTATGCAACAGATAAAAACATCACACAGCGATTCTCCCCAACCCCCAGTGAGCAAAGGGCACAGTGTGATCTCTTGCTGCTACACCAAAGAAAAAAGACCAGATATGGCTGTGGATTTGCAGGTGCACAGAGATGGATTCAAAATAAATGAATAAATACCGACAGAAGGCTGGGTTATTCCAGAAGCTTCACTTGCTTTGTGATGTGAACCTAAGCATCCAGATCGTGGGAAGTAGCAGCTTCAAAAAAAAAGTTATTGTAAGTGTAGTATTGGGTGGTTACCCCAGAGGGAGACTTCATAGGACAGAAGGTGTCTTCTCTGTGTGTGTGCAGTTTGTAAAAGGTTGTATCCCACTGGAGAGCCTTCAGGGTATACGAACCAAAACAGTTCCCGATTTACACAGCTGTAAGGCCTATGCATGTAGAGTTGTATCACATTTGTGCTATCATAGTGCAGATTATTTTTAATAGTGCATCCCTAAATGCCTAGGATTTCTGTACTCATAGCTACTTTGTGTCTGCTTCAAATAAAGTAATTCCCCATCTTTTCTTTGAGGTAGAATGACTGTGAACGGAGTCTTACAGTGCGAGATCGCTGTATGATGTTGATTTCTTTGCCACAGCAATATATTGCTCTGGAATGGAGTTTCTGGCAGCAAAATGGAACAAAGGCTAGCTTATTTTACAAGCACAATGTCACTTCGAATCATGAGAAACAAGATTGTTTGTGTAAAATACTCCTGGGTATTAAATTCTCAGATGAAGTAAATTATTTTCTTGCAAACAGTCAAGAAATTGAAATTATAAGAATCAATGTCTGTAATTCCATACAAAAATGCTAATCTCCTTGAATTTGAATGTTTTCCCAAAATGTTTTCATTTGAACGCTCTTCTAGTTTGCATTGCCTAATAGTCGAGTTTTGATGATCCAGTTGTCTCTTTAAAAATCGGAAAATCAGAGAAAAAGTATTTCCAGTGCCTTGAAGACTCGAATTGCAGAGCTTTCAGCAGAACACAATGCATTAATTATTCAGGCATTTACTAGATGGACTTGTAACAGTCTTTTTATATATATAAGTTTATTATATTGTTGTTTCCTCTGGCGAGGTATGGATGAATGTTTTAAATGATTATGTAATATAGTGTGCTAGCCAGTATCAGCATGTTGCATTTAGAGCATGAAGAGCTGTGACAACAGGTAGAGACATCATTGGATAAACGTTGAGTAGCCATGTTTTCGTGGGTAACCTAAAAGATGGAGGGCACCTGTATTCCCCCAGAGCTCAGACACACATTCTGCTTTAAGGGAGAAAAAGTGTGCTCTCCATTTGTGGATCAGTGAAGTCACTCTTGTGTGCTGAAGGTATATGATGTTTCTCATTTGTTTTGGAAAAAAACCCCAGAAAATTTAATCTACATTATCCATCTGTGCAAAACAATGGAAAGAGCAGTATGCAAGAATGAATAAATCTTTTCTCAGTGGAATTCAAGCTAGGAAGGTGTGTCTCCAGAAAAACGTGAAAATGAGTTTTATTAATAGAACAAAGATTGTGATATAGAGACGTACGTTTAATTTTTTTAACATACAGATAATTTTCTGGAAATTTATGTAAGAGAACTTTGACAAAACATTATTTTCTGACAATTTATGACAGTCCGAATGAATGACTTTTTAATAACCTGTGATGCTGGTTGAGTTTCTAAACGTTCGCGGCTCCTGATGCGTGGGGCAACATGTCACCGAGAGCCACGTGCATCTGGCTGCTGCATCTGCCTTAGTGCCAGCTTGCGCAGTCCCATACAGCCTGGCGTTTGGGTGAAGTTGCATCTTTCACACAAGGGGGTACCCGTGAAGGTATATATTACACGTATAGCTGCGCACGCATATATAGGTGTGAAAGTATACAGACGTGTATGCACACACTACTACATCAGTGCAATTGGGCTTAAATCAAGCCTTTGAAGCTTCTTTTTGACAACGTACACATCAGCCCGAAGAATGCCATCCTACGCTCCCATGAGGTGTTGATACTAATCTGATATTATTTTTTCCCTTCATTGATTGCATATTAGAGGTAGCAAACACTGTTAAGCAACAGCAGCTCATTCATTTTAGAAAATTAGCAAAACTGTGTTGTGGCCCGCTGCTTGAGAAGCAGGTGTCATGGAAATCTCTGCTTTGTTTACTTGTGAGACTGTGTGTTTTTCTGCAGAACTTCCTTCTGTTGATCTGTCTCACATGAGGGTTTGGTTGGGTTTTTTTGCCTTGAAACTTTGGCACCTTCCCTTTGTGTGGTAGTTTTGTGCAGTGGTAATGGAACTGAGAGCTGAGAGAGACTGTGAATGGCAAATAGGCTTCCTAATGAGGAAGGAGTGATGGGGTAGAGTGTGAGAAAACTAATTGTGAATGCATCTATAATTCTGTTTGAACTTCAGAACTAAACTCTTAATTATGTTTTGCAGGATATGAATGATTACTCTCCAGTCTTTAGCAAAAAGCTCTACAGGGGAATGGTTGCTCCTGATGCAGTCAAGGGCACCGTTATCACTACCGTTTCAGCTGAGGATCAAGATCCTCCGGTAAGCAAAAAGGTTCTATTAATACTCTGCACCCAAGAGGGAAAAATCTTTAACCCTCATAAGCGACCTAATTCTCTCAACAACAAAGGTGATTATTATGAGTTTCACAGAGCAGTAACTCGTACATTTTTTATGCCAGCCTGTCCTTTGTCCTTCTGGACAGAGGCTGCATTTACAGTGATTGTTCCTGAAGATGACGAATCAATGATACAGCTCCTTTCTGTCAGGAAGACTTTGGGAAAGCTCTTTATCCTACTTCACAGTGTAGATGAATAAGAGGAATAGTCAGAAAGGGAAGCCGTGCCTGTCTTTGGTACGGTTCTGCAGCTTAAGGAGGAAACAAAACACAACTCTGTAAGATCTTGATTTTGCAGTCATTCTGCATTTCCAGTCTGAGACATCACAGGGTCACGGGGAACTGTACAGCTCACCAGCCGGCCTTACTGGATGTGCAGTATTTGAAGCAAGTGCACTTGTTTTGGGGATAAAGCTTATTTCTGCCACTGGCTTTTATTGCTGTTCCCTGGTGAAGCACTTGATTGACAGAACTGGGCACATATTTTTGACTTGTTAACTATTCTGAAGAGTAATAGCAATTTTTGTAATCAGAGGTTGATGAACATTGGTAACCAGATGATACACTGAGGACAATAAAGGCCAAAGATGTTCTGCCAGCCAGGTTTAATTTTTAATTGTTAGTGTTTGGCATATTAAGGAGAATAATCCTCGGGGAGAAGAGTTCAGAGAGAATGTGCCCTGCACATTAAAAGCTGATGGCAGTGCTTTGACACAAATCAACTGTAGCTTAGCTAAATATGGTACATAGTAATTTATTTACCACCCAAGGACAGAAAGGCTAAAGCAGCGTTTCTGTGAGGACAGACCTGCTATCCCCTTGTAAAATGTCCTAACACACAAAGTTAAGTAAATTCCCTACAGGTGATACATATCAGTGGGGTATGACTGAACTCGGAGGCATTTAAGGTAGTTTATAACAGCTGAAGGTCTGGGCTATTGTTTAAAGCACGTGAAGGACAGTAATATTATCAGGTAGGTAATGAATAGCAGTAGTTATGACTTACTAGTGCTACAGAGTATTTAAGGAACGTAGCAGCAGAGGACACAGACGTTATTTGAGCAGTAAACAAAAGAAGTGGAGAGAGGTGTGCCATAATGGCTAGTCTTGGACAATTTGAAGGGGAGTATTAAGAGACATTGGTGCCTGATTTTGAGTGCTCTGCTCGCAGAATGGAGCCCGAGGTGCATGTTAAGCTCCTTACATAGAGCACAGGCACATGAGAATAGGGCCCCAACCAGCCAACACGTTAATCGCAAATCTGCTTAATTAAAAGCAGAATAGTCAGCACATGTACGCATTAGACTGATCAGTAGAGGCAAGTGGGAATTTCTGGTGTCTTGCTTTAGGGATACTTTTAAAAATGCATAGGACCATTCTCTTCGTGTCAGGTACCTACACTCTCCTTCAAAGACACACCTTTGTGTACTCATGGCTTTTAGCATGCAGCAAGGGAAAGATGATTTAGTGGTAGTGTCTGCTCTCCTCCTTTTGCATCTTGTTAGATTAATCTTGCTAGGAAAAGCCTTTCCACGGGATGATAGAGGCCTAGGCTGCCTTCCCTCCACTGACTGAAGGACTCAAACCTTTGGCTCTATTTCCATGTACCTTAACTACCAGGAAGGAGGCTGGCCAGAGTACCTGACAAACTTGAGGCACATCCGCAGGTGTGTGGAAGCCTTCCAAGCCAGGAAGTCGCTAGTAAGGCAACAAGCTGCAGCGCCTGCATAGATCAGGGACGTGCAAGGTTAGCCAGACTTGTACCCACATCACCTGGTCCTTTTCTGGACTTGAACCGTTATGCCTAAGTAAGGGGACGTATCTCTAGTAGCACTGTAGAAGCCTAAAATGTACAATTCCATGCTAGAGCCCTTCAGAGGGCTTCGTAAGTGTTCATAGTTTTGTGGCCTACCTACACTCTTGCTCCCATTGCCTTTTTGCTCTGTGGAAGTCTAGTGCTTTTTGTCTGACCTCCTTCACTGTTCTCTGGGGCACACCAGGCCTAGGTTTCCACCATCGTCTTAGTCGCTGTTTAAAACGGTGATTTGCAGGGGAAGGTAGGCTTGATTGCTCAGATCTCATAGTTACTTGCTGGAAAACAATTTTGAAATGGATTTACTGCTGTTTGGTTCTACTCTGTGAATGACTTTTACTGTCAGGTTTCATGCATGTCTTACTCTTCTCTATGTTAGGCACAATAACCTGGCGGTTACAGAATGGAAATGGAGATCAAAGTGGGCAAAGTTTCCGGGTGGCATTAGAAACCTGAAAGGGTTATGTTTACACTATATAGTGCACAAAGGTATTATCTCATTTTGCTAGCATTTCTTCCTGAATAAAACGCTGTGCTACTGTAGTACTACCAGCAAATTAAGTAAACCTTGCCTTCACATAAAGGCATCTGAATTGCATTCAGCATTTCAGGGAGTTCAACGGATGCTGCTTAGCTGGAGAAGATTCTCTGTTGCTCTGCTTAGGAATGTCTTGGGAACCAGGGAGGTAGGAAACACCGTTTCCCTTCGAGAGCTCTCATCCTCAGCAGGTAGCAGAAAATAATTCAAAAGGAAACACTCTGCTCATATCACAAGTGTAATCGCTTCAGAGTGACCTGCCAGTGGAGAGTGGGGAAAACTGGCTGTGCATGACTGCTGAAACTGTGCAATTTTTTGATTGCCACAATAGAAATCTAAAATACTAAGTTCATTAGTCACAGTCCTATGGACCTGCCTCTGCCCCTTGCACCAGTATGTATTTGCTCCTATCAGGTTTATCATACTGACCTTTGAGAAAAGTCTGCAGAAAAAGGTGTTAAGGATCAAAGAAACGGGGCAAGGAGACGAATTTCTAGTCCATCTAAACTTGACAGAAATGGTTTAGTGAGGATAGAAAAAAAGTAATTATTCATTGGTGCTAGAGAATCACTTTTTAATTTGGTTTTTGTGCAGCATTTAATATTTATATTTAGTATCTGTTGCCCTACAACAAGATATTTTGGTCTCAATAAAAGTTCTATTTTATAATCCCTGGGTTTAATATCTCTTAGATACCACTGAGATACTGGGAGAAACAAAATAGTTGAGAAACTGATTAATGTCTCTTAGTAACAATTCTTAGTCCTGTGGAATCGGCATTTCCTAATGCAAAGCTATTTCACTTTTTCATTTAAAAAAACCCAAACCCTTCTGAACGCTCTCCTTTTCTAACATTTCTGTCACTATCACGTTCTTGAACAGATAAATGTAGAAACTGGACATGGATACGCTTGTGTGCATCTTGTACAGTGGGTAATAACGGCCATCCCTAGGTGGTATGAGGAGCAGAATGAAAACCTGACTGAAATGCTTATGTCTCGCAGTTTCCTTTCTTGTGATTTCCTCATTCCCCATGTATTTATATAGATTTCTTTTACGTGGTTTTGAGTGTTTTATATTTGAAAGATGTGGGCATCACTTCTGTGGAGAAATCGATGCACATGCATGAGAGAGAGATCAAAGTCACTGAATGCGGGATGCTGTTTATCATTATAACGGGCATCAATGCATAGGACGGTAATGTTAAGATAATGTTCTTCGAAATCAACCGTTGCATTTCTTTGATTTTTATGAAGACTTAAAAATGAAGCTACCCTTAGGCATTTAATGAATACAGTAGCTATAAAAGTTAGCCAACTATGGAGGAAAGCTTTTAAAACAGCTTTTGAAAGTTGGTAATTTATTTCAAACTAATGGCTGATAGTTTTTACTTTGCTATCAGGCATAAATGGCTTTGTTTCTTTTTCCAACTGAGCCAACCTGTTTAGATGTTTTGTGCTACTGGCAAATCTGTATTTATTTGGAGCTGGCTTTGACATAAGTGGTGTCACAAAGTATTCAATACAAATTCCCCAGAAATGTTTTTTAAAAAATACACTGGTCAGCAAGAGTACCCTCCTCTAAACTTGCCGTAAGGGAAAGAATATTCTTTGTTATCATCGTCCATATTTTAGTTGTTCGTTTTGGTTTTTTTTAACCTGGTGGAATCTTATTTGCACAGTACGAATACATCTATTTTATCAGTTCAGGAAAAGAAGTATATATTTATTAAGAAAATAATTGTGGCTTTAAAATATGCCTGATTATCAGGTCAGGTCTAATAAGAGCCTAACTAATGTGAAGTGTGCAAGCCTGAATTTTTCTGTTGTTGTTTTACAAATAATGCAAACTATTCCCCTGTCAACTTCAAACTCAGTCCAGAGTAAAAGTCAAGCTAGATTTTTTTTTTCATCATCTGCAATAAAAGCATTTCAGATCTAATCAGCTCTTCAGAGACTGCCCACTGTCTTCAGCAAATCCCAACTTTGCTCTGCATTGTCAAATTAATATGGATGGTATGAGAATCCAAATTGAAATGCTCAGCACCTGCATGTCATTTCTCTTGCAGATAAGGCAAATTTGAATTTTTTGCAGCAGAAGAGTGGACTTGGGGAAGGAAGGAAGGAAGGAGGTGTTGAATGGTGTCAGTGGAGTTTGGCTCTGCATTTCACCTCATAGGCACCATCCTCATCCCGTTCCTCCTTTGAGCTGCTGGACTGGGGCTGTTGTGGTGTTGCCTTGCTGTTTCAGTCCCTCAACAGCAAAGGTGACAGCAGCAGTGATGGGCGTGTAAATGGTAGAAAAAAATTTCATGCCACTGAGGTCAACCTTAAGAAATCATCATCTGTAGCAAGCTACGCAGATATTTTGCCTACTGTGTTACTTTTTGACTGTGGAAGTGCTCATTCAGTGATGTTCCTGAGGAAGGATCATGGTTTTATCTGTGGCTTTTGACTTCCAAAGGACAAGTCACAAATACAAACGCAAACATGAAATGGTCAGTGAGGGTACAAGAAGTAACATAGGTGAAAGATGAGAGGTTGGAAGAGACTGGTGGCGTAGAGTTTTCTGAT